AAAAACTCGGCTAAATAAAAAAAAACAATGTTTTCTCCCTCGTTTTTTTTTGTCTGTCTTTTCAATTTTATTTTTTGTTATCACTCCGAAAAAGGGGAATTTATTAACGAATCAACGATTAAGTTTCCAATTAAACAATAATAAATTATTAAGGAAAACCTTGCGTTTTTGAAAAAGTTATGTAAATTGAGTTTCTAATGAGATGGTTCTTTACATACCTGAAACATAATTGGGCAATCGGTGTGTCGTTTACACCAACGATAACTGTAACGATGTACATTTATTGGTCGTAGGTTGGTGACTTTAACGATAACAAAATGGGTTTTGGTTGGTTATTTGTTTTACATTCTTACAATACAAACCATGAAAATTATTTATATTACTTTGAAACGATTGTTTTTAAATTCTTTTTAAAGAAATACGAGTAGACAAAGGTTTTTCATGATTCAAGATTTTTTTCAAAATAAACTAAAAGTTTCGTGACAATATTTATTTGAAGTAAATTAAAAGATGGGGTTTTAGCTTAAAATTGATGTATAACACATGATTTTAGCGATATTTATTCATGAGATATCGATAATTTTGTATTATGAGCTTTTTTGAAAATGTATTGTTTTTAGCATAAATTTAATCAACTTGAAATTTTTTTTCCTAACAAACTAATTAGTTTAGAAGAAAAATTTATGGAAGTAAAACAAAGTACATACTTTTAGCTTGAAAATGACGCATCATTCATGATTCTATCGACATTATTAGATGAGATATCGAAAATTTTATATTACGAGTTTTTTGCAAATTTGTTGTAAATTTACAAACTTTAGAATTCTTTTGCTACTAAACTAATAAATATCGAACAATAATTTATACAAATAAAATAAAGTATAGTCTTTTAGCTTGAAATTGATGTATGACACATGATTCTAGCGATATTTATTCATGAGATATCGATAATTTTGTATTATGAGCTTTTTTGAAAATTTATTGTTTTTAGCATAAATTTAATAAACTTGAAATTTTTTTTCCTAACAAACTAATTAGTTTAGAAGAAAAATTTATAGAAGTAAAACAAAGTACATACTTTTAGCTTAAAAATGACGCATCATTCATGATTCTATCGACATTATTAGATGAGATATCGAAAATTTTATATTACGAGGTTTTTGCAAATTTGTTGTAAATTTAATAAACTTTAGAATTCTTTTTCCACTAAACTAATAAATATAGAACAATTATTTATATAAATAAAATAAAGTATAATCTTTTAGTTTGAAATTGATATGACACATTATTCTAGCGATATTTATTCATGAGATATCGATAATTTCGTATTATGAGCTTTTTTGAAAATTTATTGTTTTTAGCATAAATTTACTAATTAGTTTAGAAGAAAAATTTATAGAAGTAAAACAAAGTACATACTTTTAGCTTGAAAATGACGTATCATTCATGATTCTATCGACATTATTACATGAGATATCGAAAATTTTATATTACGAGGTTTTTGCAAATTTGTTGTAAATTTAAAAACTTTAGAATTCTTTTTCTACTAAACTAATAAATATCGAACAACAATTTATACAAATAAAATAAAGTATAATCTTTTAGCTTGAAATTGATGTATGACTCATGATTCTAGTGATATTTATTCAAGAGATATCGATAATTTCGTGTTACGACCTTTTTTCAAAATTTATTGTTTTTAGCATAAATTTGATCAACTTGAAATTTTTTTTCCTAATAAACTAATTAGTTTAGAAGAAAAATTTATAGAAGTAAAACAAAGTACATACTTTTTGCTTGAAAATGACGTATCATTCATGATTCTATCGACATTATTAGATGAGATATCGAAAATTTTATATCACGGTAATTTGAAGCTTTTAATTTAATTTAGACAAGCTGAGATTTTTTTTCTGCCAAACTAATGAAATTACAACAATAATTTGTATAAATAAAATAAAATACAAAGTTTTAGCTTGAAATTAACGTATCACTCATGATTCTAGCGATATTATTTCATGAGATATTGATAATTTTATATTATGAGGTTTTTTGAAGTTTTTTTGACCTAAATTTAATCAACTTGAAAATGTTATCCCTTATAAACTAATAAATTTAGAATAATAATTTATAGAAATAAAATAAAGTACACACTTTTAGCTACAAAATGATGTATAATTCATGATTGTAGCTACATTGTTTCATGAGATATCCA